AGCCTCCCACCCCTGTGTGTTTCAGCATTTCGTGGGAAAGAAACGAATAATAAAAGTAAGTTACAGACAATGCAAATACTTCTTCAGACTTCAAGCATTATTGCCAGTCTTATACAGTTTCTCTATTTTTTCTGATACGCTTGTGGTTATGGATGATTTTGGTTTTCTTCAAAGGTGGTCGCCCAAAGAGGTTATGTAAAAGCCGATTGTTATTTATGTTCTCAGAAGTACTGATCACTTTCAGAGATAGTTCTCAAAAGTATTGATCACAAGAGATTAGACAAATGATCGCGAGGACAGAATTCACTGAAGTTTTATTCCGCTTCGATTTCTTACTTCAGAAATTTCTTTTTCCCTTTTTGGTTTTCAAATGGGTATTTAAAAAACACTACTCTAAGATATTATCTAATGACATTATGCTATTCCTAAATTTTGAAGTTGATTAAAGATTGAATCTTACGGTAAAAACTAATGTATATTTTATCTTTCTTTCTTCTAAGATGCTTTAGAGTTCTTGTTCAAAACCGCTGAAAAAGCAAAAATAGAAGACCTAGCAGAAATGTGGCTATTAGTTTCATTTTTTTTCCAACAATGTATAAAGTAGAACAGAACAAAAAGATGCAGAACAAAAAGTACAGAACAAAAAGTTAGCATTACATGCCTCATTTATCTATAAATTCCGAAGCAATCAAATAAACTCTAAATGTATTTATATGTAAATTAACCTTGATTCTTTTAAAAACGCGTCGCGGCTGGATAGGGATTTGAATCCTGTTTAGCATAGAGTAAGAATGCCTCTATGTCGTGTAAGAGAATCCATAAATGACATCAGATTGTAGGTCATACCGCGTTTAAAATTAGACAATTATAATAAAACGTTCTTTTTCTCAATTAATTTATTTACACAATTAATTCTAGCAGTGATCGCAAAGATATTTTTTCGTGTTCCTTTCAACTGTAGCACATAAGTCGTGTATCCATACTATGCATTTTAAGTTCTAAATCATATTCTCTTCGCGGTTCTCCACACAAATATTACAGGAACACGATGTGAAACAATGTGGTGGACTGGGGGGTAATTCATTTTGCCGGCAGAGGCTCAGTTGTCAAGGTATCACGCTAATATTTAAAAGGTTTGACTTAACCCTCTAAGCGGCAAGGCCGTATATATACGGCCTAGAATAATTTTTGTGATATCAATAAGAACGTATATATACGTACATATAAAAATGTGTCAAAGAAATTAACGCATTATATCAAAAGTAGACAAATGCAGGTGTAAAATACTAGGAGAGTTTTTACATTAAAATCAAAAATAATAATTTGTTCTCATAGTAGTTTTAGATAATTTGTGCTTTCTTACCGAAAACCCTGGCCGCTCAGAGGGTTAAGCGGTGGTACGACTTGCGCAATCTTATACTGTTGGCATCTGCCATGGCAGAGCTCGGTGTTTTTTTCTACGATACTGACAAATGAGTGGATGGGGTAGGTGGAGTGTTTCTGTTGTCGAAAGAATGCAAAGAATTGTTCGAAGGAGATGTAAGAAATGAATAGAAGGTTCTGGATGTCGTATGCAGACAGTGGCAGGAAAGGATTGCCGTTTCATAGGAGTATCGTTGGCTAAGTATCCTGCGTCGTCGACAGTATTGTTACAACATTGGAGAACGGTAACATATTCGCTAATGTTATCTGCCATGCTGTGTCATCATTTATTATGCTCTGGTTTACGATCCCGTTAAACTCTTCTCAGATTACCTTTCATACCCCAGAGTGTAGAGTCAAAATGTGTAGAATTCGTGAGAGAAAAATTGAGTAACATGACATCATCTGCTCTGATGAATCAAGATTTATTTTAGATGAAAAAATTCGCTGCTCATGGGAAGCTGTAAGAAGACTGAATTCCTACCGTACTATGTCAACAAAGAGAATTCTTGCATGGGATGGCTATTGGATTTAAAGATAAATAACATAAGAGTTCAAGCCTTTACTACAGGTATTCGATATGTTAATAACGTTAGAGCAGATCTCACTTTCATACTTGCACCATCTTCCTGGAGCAATTTTTTAGCAAGACTATGCTTCTCAGTCCTCATAGTATACTACCAAAACGAGCTTTCAGAATTAATGATGTCCCATATTTTGTTTGACCAACTAGACTACCTGATTTATCCTTCAAGAAAATGTGTGGGGGTATATTTAAACGAAGAATGATGCATTACCACAGTCTACCAATAAACCTCGATCAATTTGGACATAGTCTGATGGACTTGGGTGTCATTCTAGAAGACACCGTTGAAATTATGTTTAATTCAACGCCACGAAATGAACAGAGCGCAATACAAAGTAGAGAGAAACACGTAGAATATTAATTGTTGCCTTCGTAGAGGACTTTCTAACTGAAACTGACTTGTGTGCACATTACACATAAGGAAAATCACGAAAACATTCGTGCAACCAGCCCGTTCGCGGGATTCCAACCTCGGACTGAACTACCAGTGTTCAGCGACCTTACCGATCGGCCGCTTGTGGGTACGAATATTAATTATAAAGAGGTAGATAACGAGTGAGGAACTAAAAACACTAGTTTCTATTTATGATGCTTAACGTGTTTAAGCTACATTAAATAAAGATAACACATTAAGAGAGAGGTAGATAATTATAAAGAGGTAGATAGCGAGTGAGGAACTTAAATACAAATTCAGTTTTCTACTTTTATATGATTGCTTAACTTTGTTAAGCGACGATTAATAAATAAAGATAACACATTAAAGATGAAAAACATTCGGAACTACATAGTCTTTCATCAAAATATTCATGGAGAAAATTTCGTGTCACTCTGTAACTTTTGTTCATTTAGTGTTTAATTCCCAAAAAATTGTTTAGTCAGCAATAGCGGCACAAAAAAAAAAAAAAAAAAAAAAAAAAAAAAAAAAAAAAAATTTCCCATCAAAATTTCGATATCAAATTCCCACCTCCCGCATAATGGCGCTGTCTCCTAGCACGTGATCATACATAATACCGAGAATTATGCCAAAGTTACTTGCATATAGCCCTCGTGTATTTTCTTTATTAGTTCTTATATCATATGATTTAGAAACTTCTGATTTATAGAAACAAACAAAATACACGTGCAGGAAGAAAAATGTTTTGTAAGAGTATTTTGGTTACTAATAACTTATAAACTAAAAAGTGAAGTTAATAAAACTGAATACAATAATATTACTATACTTAACGTATGTGCCTTTTAATGTGTTGCGTTCATCATGTAGGCCTTGCTATCAGACATTATACACAAGCGTATAATTTGCCCTTTGTAAAAAATATCTGTATAAATTTCTAAAAATTCGTTAGAATAAATTCTACATTGAGGTAATTTATCTCAAACGGATTTTCATAAAATTTTGACTTTTTTTCATCCGTACAAATTTGCACTATTTTTTTAAATAAAATCATTAATTTTTTAACTTCTTTGATTTCATATAAGTCAAATAAGATTTTTAAATGTTGCTGTTTTTTCGAGTTGTGATAGCAGATATAGTTCATAGGAATATGTAAACTATATAAATTTTGCTATAGCATTTATCTCAGAGATTTGTTGATAAGCTGATAATTGATAACAAACCATCAACTTTTTACTGCAGTGAGCTTTATTTAATGACTTTTCATTTCTTATTATTAACTTCTACTGTCTAATAATCTCCTGAATTTTTTTAACTTTTTAATATCCAAACGTTTATACCGTTAAGCCTTGTTAAATTGTTTATGTATATCTTTTTTTCGTTAGGTTAAGTTATTTGCATATGGCAAAGTACACGAGGGCTATCTGCCTGAGGGAAGGGATGCCTTCGTTGAGAATTTTTAAAGGAAATTGGCTCGAATTCACGTTGCACAGGGAAAAAAACCACAAAAACCAATTGTATAGCCAATGTATTAGATATATGCTTCATTGATAGGATACCTTTGAATTGCTTATGGATAATAAATAATCTCTGCCTTTTGCCAATGCCGATATTTATGCCAACTGTTAAATCCACTCAGGAATTTAGAAATCCCACTTTGAAATTTCGAAAGAAGCACTGATATATAGCACGACAACTATTAATATAATTATTATTGATATAAATGACACCTTATAATACTGATATTGATATAAACTGATATAATATACCATTAAAACAATAGGATTTTTTTCCATACGACCCATTCAATTTTCTAAATTATAAAACTTATCAATCTGATGCAAGATTCTAGTAAATTTAATATCAGTTGAGGAAAGAAAATCTGATATGAACACCACATGACTTCCTTGCACGGTCTATTTAATTATCCACATTTTTTGGTGCATTCGGCTTAAATTTATTTCCTCTCTTCAAATAACTTACAAGCACATCCCTTTTTACACTGCCAAAAGAGTAATCAAAGATAACTACAGAGAAGCTTTCTGGAATGACGTTATCGAAAAGAAGAAAAGAAGAGTCATAAAATATGGATTAACAGAATTTTTGATACTCCTTTATGGCCAGAAAGAAATCTGTTGCTATTTTTCGTCTTGTTACTAGCTATGATTGCCTTTTAAAACATTTGCATCGAATGAAATTTATTCCAACCCCAATTTTTAAATTGGGCAACTTGCGTGAGGAAATGGATGCCTCTCATCTGAGTCGTTGCCCTGTACTCAATGATGGATATTTGAGAGAGATATTGGGAGGCGAGACATAGAACAGATTTATAGATTGTTGTAAACCCATTTTCTTTTATCTTTGCTTGTTCTGTTTACACTTGTCTCTGTAATCTACCACTAGAAATAAAAAAAAAAATAAAAATAAAAAAATAATCGATGCGATAGATATAAAGCAGTTCTTAGTATCAGTAAAAAGTGATAACTTTTTAGAATTTAGTAGTTGGTATGTCAAAGTAGTATCTTATCAACTAATGATATTTGACTTAACACCTAACATCCTAACATATTACTTTTTTTTTTTTTTTTTTTTTTTTTTTAGAAAGTTCCTACAAAACGCCATGGAGTCCACCAACACCAGTCCAAACACAAGGTAAGTGCACTTTTCAAAACAAATCACAAATTAATTTTCTTAACATTTTAATATATAATGATTTAGCAAAAAATTTCATACAAAATATTTGAGAAAATGCGAAGAGCATTTATAGTTGAAAAGTGTTCTTTAAACTATTGAAGTTGTTCGCACATTTATTAGACGATTTTGCTTTGCTATAATATAAAAGTCTTCTACTTGGAAATTTTTTTAAACTTCAACTATATTTTTTGAGAACCTAAATTATCGTCAGTTTCTTGACAGTTTTGTTTTCATGCAAAATGGCACTTTAAAAGAAGCAATAGATGGGAGGCTATGACTGTGCTCTTTCTGAAGAAAATTATTCATATCTTGTTATTAAAAAGGGCCCGGTGGCGCAGTGGCTAGCGCGTCGCACAGCAGCCCCACAGGTCCGGGGTTCGGTCCTCGGGCTGGATAAGGTTGACTTAGCCTTTTATCCCTTGAGTAAATCGGTAAAATGAGTAGCAAGTTTGCTTGGGAACTAAACACCGAGAATCCTGCGACAAACTGACCACTTGTCCAGGAATATGTTCATGCACCCCGGAACCCACGGTCTAAACAGCAGATATCAGGGAATTGCCGGCCATGGCTCTCTAAGGGCTGTTTGTGCCGCTGAGTTTTAGAGTTTAGTTATTACAAAACGCTGTGAAAGCCATGACTTTTCGATATCTAAAGTTGCAATAGGTAATAATGTCAACAAGAAAGCAAGAAAAAAACATTTTGGGGCCAGATGGAAAAAATTGCTCCAAATACGCATCCAGGGAAGAAGCGGAATGCTTCGAATGTTGCAATCTTTAATGTTGAAAGAAAATTCACAAGTCAAAGGGCACTTTCAAATCATTGAAATGCTCAGTGTTAACTATAAATAAAGTGATCAATGCTGGTTTGAATTTTTAAAAGGCGGGAAAACGCATTGTACATCGTATTTCTCCACGACATATCGCCGAACACAGAAGGTGCTGCAGAATTCTTTATGAGAAACATTTATCTGGACAAAAACAGAAAAATGTTGTCGTATTAGATGAATCTTGAGCGTATTGAAATGACTGCAATGAAAAAAGATCTATTTATTATCATCACAGAGGAGAAAACAAATTTAAAAACATGATTCAAAGAATATAAAGAATGTTTTTCAAAAGGATTTATGATTGTTGCTGGCTTATCCTATAACGGCAAATTAAAGTAAAAAAAGTGGATACATATGTTATATCAACTCCCCATATTAACAGGAGCATACTGTACACCGAATTTTTAAATATGAAAATGCCATCTCTTTATCCACAGAACCATCAATCAATAGAACTGCATCAAGACAAAGCAAGCAGACACAGGCCAAAATCCACTGTTAATTTCCTGGGAAAAAAATGGAACAAGAAACGGATATCAAGGCCATGTTCTTCACTCATATCCCTACTAAATCTTCTGATATATCGTCCATGAATTTTAGCGCTTTTGGCCTTTACAAAGCGGAATGGCCAAACGTCAACCTACAACACAAGCCCCCTACTTTGGAAAGCTGTTTAAGAGAAATGAGATAAAATACCTTTTCGATATTATGAAAGGCTTTATTGTCTTCGAACTTAGGTATAGAAAGATAATAAAGAATAAGGGAACAATAGAACATTTAAAACACTAACATTTTAGGTCAAATATTGCTTCAAATATAATGAAAGTCGTCTAAAAAATCTGCGAACAGGTTGTTTAGAAAAATTGACACATAATCATTTTGCAAAACTGGATTAAAATATATTCTTTTAAACTAAAAATAAATGTTTGCCGAAATCATGCCGGCGCAGGCACGACGAGGAAGCCTCAAAGAAAAAACATTGCAAGAAGAAGATAGTGAAGAACAAAGCATTGTTATAGACGGAGGTTACAGTGTCTCGGTTTTTAAATCACCGTCGTACAAAAAATCGCAATAAACATCAATGCAATAATAATTCGAAATATCGATGCATAAAACATTGTGGTGTAAAAAAAAAAAATACATAAAAGTATAAATTTTGTATACATACTTTTCATCTTAGGCTTGCAAATGCTTACTTAATATTTTCTGTAACGTTTTTCATAACGATGATGTTTTGAAGAACTAATGTAAGCTACACTGGTCATCAAAATCAAAGGATAATGAGAAAAAAATATGCTCGATAAGTTACTGTCGCGACCAATGCCCAATGCGGTAACTGTTTATGTTAAATACAATTGAACACAAAATTGCACTTCTGCGACTGTGTTAGCTCCGGAAATATGCAAATTCGCTGATTGACGACGTGGTGAACAAAGGACTTATGTTGGAATTCCGGTCTGTAGAGTGTAGAGTATTTAGAGTGAATGTTTAGAATGAATGCACTTTCTGAGAGTTATCAGTGTTCAGTATTAAGCTTTGGTGCATACTAAGTATTTTATGTAAATAAATACCACTATTTATATATAAATAAAGAAGTGAATCTCAGATGGCAAAATTCTTATGTGATTTCTTTAAATAAATTCCTATGAGATTATTCTATAAAATGAAGTTTCGTATTTATGCGACAAATTAAATGAAACCTAATATCTACAATTCAGTACAAGTTCATAAAGGATTATCGCATTCCAGGCAGGAAATGCGATACAAATGATCTTTTGCTGTAAGTGATTAGCGCATCCGGTTACTTACTGAAAGATCCTTGATTCGAATTCCGGCAAAAATATAATGCATTTTTCACATTTATTGCATCATAAAACCATGATAATTTCTACGCACTATATTGAAACCAAAAAAAACTTTAAAAACCGAAAAAGAATATTATTAATAGCTGAGCGCCGCCTGAGATAACCACTGACCTAACTTTGTTGTAAAATCTTCAGTTTATAGTCTCCTGGCAGAAGGAATATTTTCGTGTAAAAATATAAATAAATTTCATGGCATATACAAGGCTGTGTCTAAGCATAAAATCTGTTGATTACAAAATGTCTTGTACAGTTACATGTGTAGTTAATAAACATGACATTATGTACATTTAAAATTATCTATTATATTTACATACTTTACTGAGATAATAATCAAGTGAACTTGTAATTCATTACACATTGCTGGTTTTCATCTCATTAAAGGCTTACAATATTTTTACAATCATACAACTGATAGTATATGCTACATTACAATAGTTTTGCTTTACAGTCCTGTTACTATTCCTACGGGGTGAGCTATTTTTCTAGTGCTGATTTTCAGTTGTTGTAGTTATTTTGATTTGCTATTAAAATTATGTTGCGAAGATACAATTCTCAAGGGACGGGGAGAATTTCTTAGTACCTGAGCATAGCCTGATCACCTACTCTATTTTAGTTTTTCGTGTGCTTGTTGTCGCAGGTATTCTCCGCCCATTGCGGCCAGTATTCACTACTTGGTATTTTTAAATGCAGTTTCTCGGTTTATAGGCAGTTGAAAAGATAGTGATCCGCATCACCTACCGCACCATATACACACAATTCTGATGCTCGTTTGCCGAATCTCTTAAGATAATGTGGGAAGGGATCATGGCCAGTGTAGAATTGAGTTTGTGCTCCGCTGTATGTATTAATTGAGCACGTAACTTTCAGAAAAAAACTTGTAGGTTCTCCTCCCTGTGCTTTCCCTTTCCCATCTTTTCTGTCATTCTTGTAAAAGGGTATTGAGCGTGATTTTTTTAAATAGGACTGCGGAACACTTACAGCGTTTTCCAGTCTACTGGAGTCATTGGCTGCAGTTTCTCAAGCACGTCCGCCGCTTCGTTGCCAGTAATACCCACATGAGCTGGAACCCAGATCAGAATAGGTCTGTTATCTGGTGGGATACTTAGAAGAATTTTCTGAATGTCTTGCACCAGAGGACTCCTTGTCTTGTGCCCTCGGATGGACTCCAAACTTGAGGCAGAGTCGCTATATATGTTGACCTTTATTCCTTATTGATATTTTGCCAAATTGATGGCTGCTTTTAATGCAAGAAGCTCTGCCTAAAAGACGGTATTTTTGTCTGTCAGTCGTCTTTCCCAAGTTTTAACCACTTCTCCTTCTTGGAGTACACAGTAGGTGCAGCCTGTGCCTTTCTCCGTCTTTGAGCCATCTGTATAAATAGCTAATGCTTTCTCATTTGGCGGGGTGTATTGCATGTGTATTGTGCGCGATAAATCTGTATCTGCAGGGTGTCCAAGCATGATCGGCTTGCGCTTCTCATAGTCTGTGTGGTAGATTATTAATAACTGAAATTTTATCAAATCGCGTAGATCCTAATTTTCTGTTTTAACAGATATGAACTACCACTTTTCTATGCAACGCTAATGCTTAGTTAAAGTAAACCCTGCTACGGCCATCGCCTTCCTAAGACGCCCACCTCTGAAAGTAACCACTAGTCCTGACAAGATAAATATACAGTGGTATTGAACATCACCTTGATGATGACCTCTGACGAAAACCAAGGTCCGCCAGCGGCCTAGCGGTAATGTTGCTACACACTGGTAGTTCCGCCTTGGATTCGATTCCAGGCGAACGTCCTGGTTGCATGGGCATTTTCTTGGTTTTACTATGTGTAGCGTGGATACGAGCCAGTTCCCATTAGAAGTCCTCCACGAAGGCATCCCTCCCCTTAGGTAGATAGGCCTCGGCAAGAGCCTTGAGCACCATACAGGTGACAGTACGGCTTTGCTCAGTTTCGCCCGCCAATTTTGATCCCCCTCTTTCCCTACCAACAACCTCTAGAGAAGCCTTTCGGGTCACCGCATATCTAGAGGACTCCCATGCCGCTTAACTATCCTTTCTTTCTATGACTTGCATATGAAATGCTATTGTTTCACATGCAAGCATTTCATATGTTTTTCATTCCTTCTAAGTTTGATTAACAAGCACATAGAGTAAGTTAATATACTATGTTTTTTATCAAAATGAAGAAATTCTTGAAGAGAATAAATACATTTTTTAATATTCATCTGTGAATATCCTTAAAAGTAATAGAGTTTTCCTTGCGGTTACGGTAAATAGTCTTTGATATACTGCATTAGAATTTCACTATCAGCTTTAATTAAGACAATTAATATTTTCTTATTATTTAATGAGTAGAATGAATTTAATGAATAAAATACAGTTATGTAGCATTTTTGAGGAGAGGTCTGCTATTTAAGTAAATATTATTTATTATACATTACGTTATTTTATAGCAGGAGACGTGAAAAATATGCAGTGCCCTCGCCGGGACTGGGACCCTGGACCTCTCGAATACGCGTGAGTACGCTTCTAGTTACGAAGGCATGCGGAAAGGAGGGAAGAAATACCTTATAGCTATGTAAATGTTTTCTAAAAATTTGCATTTCAATAATACGCGCTATGGACTTTTATTTACTTTGAAAGCAACACGAGTGGATACTCATATTTTAAAAATTATATAAATAACTCAGATTTTGTTATGTGGTTAGCATTTATTGCATCTATTAAAAACTGAACTCATATCTATTTTCTACTGTTAATTTATTTTTTCAACTTTTTCAGATCCATATCAAATGTTTGGGCCAACTAGCACGCGTCTTGCAAACTCAGGTGAGAGAAAAGTTTTTAGTTTTTCCTTCATTACTCATTTCTTTTGGTTTGTATTTAAAGAAATTTTAGTTGTTTTGGGTATTCTACTGATTCTATCTGCATCATTTTCAACAAACTGTTTAAAATTACAGTTTTACATGGTAATGAAGTTTGTAAGCAAATGAACATCAAAACAAAATAGAACTGCCAATCAAAATTATAGACAAACGCGAAATATTTTTTAACATTTTTGAGTTAGACATATGCACTAAACATACATATAATAACAGTGTAATGCATAAAATCTGTAAGACTTAAAATGCCCGAAAGAAATTCATGAAAATATGTCATTTTAGAAAAATGCCTCTTGAGACGTAGAAATGTTTTGAACTTTGTCAAAGCAAGCTGCTGTCAAAGTTAACAGTCAGCGAGGAAGGTGAATTAGCTGTTTCTAGGTTAGCGTTAAGCAAAGGTGAATTATAATCGCGTTAAATTTTATGTTACTTTGAACTCCGCGTGAAGCGGTGGATAATTTTATTAATTTCTGTGTTTTTTTTTTTTTTTTCAGTGACGACAAGAGCTGCAAATAAATTAACTAATTTTTTTTTTACCCATTGTATCTCACTGAGGTTCAGATTATGCATCAGGTTTTTTCTGAGAGCAAAAGTTTCGCTGAGTAACGTAGGGCTGTAAGGATTTTTCTCCTACCACGGATCTTCGTAGAGTGATTCGAAAATACATCCCACAAGCAATCGAAGTCCGATGTTCGAATCATAGCCACAACACTGCGTATTTTTTATGTTTTCAGCTCTGCTCTACAAGTGGCCTCCGAACTATAGTGGACGGTAATTCATCATGACCTATATCTGGCGGCTGGGTCCCCTTCTCCTCAGTCGCAATTTAAGTGGAAGGAAATGTAAAATATTTTCACCCTTCTTGCCACTTGGCAAGTAATAGTTGCTATAGTGGTGTAGTTGGAAACAAACTCAACTGATAATCGGGAGCTCCGGAGTTCAAATCCTGGAAAAGGCATTGCTTATTTTTCGTGTTTCCTGCTCTCATAAACATAATAATTCTACAGGTTTAGTCAAGTGAATAAAGTTACATTGCTAAATCTTGTACTGTTTAACGGTAATGGTGATTTTCTGTGAAAGCCTTGTGCTCTCTTCCTCAGAAGAAAGTAGGTACACCAAATGCATTTACAGTTTTTTTTTTTATTTGATATATCTTATAACTCTTCAACTCGTGTGCAAAATTATTAGAATCTGAACGTTACGTCGAATCTCTAAAAACCTAATGGACAGGTTTTAATGAAATTTGGTAGGAATATATATATGTAACAGAGAAAGAGATGTATTATTCAAAAGTCATTTTATGTTCGCATAATTATCAGTAAAGTTCATAGAGTTCATAGTGCAGAGATGACCAAAGGTACGTGTTGCCATATCGAACTAAAAATTAATCTAATTTTGGGTATGGTCTCCTTTCAAAGCCGGATAGCTAGCTTAGCGTGTTAGCACACTAGACAGCAGGTGGATCAAGAGTCTCTGTGGTAGTTGTTCCCAGTCCTGCAGTAAAGCAGTTTTCAACTCCTGGACGGGTCTCCGAGGGGTATAACAGACTATTTATGTGCTCTTGCAACTATACGGGCTGAAGTCACAGTTGAAAACCCCCTCATTAGGCAAGGAGTAGTTGTCCAACCAAAAGTCACCTTAAAGATGATTGAAAATTCATTTACCGAGCATCCGGGTCCCACACCCGGTTCATACGGATTTCTAAAGTACTCAGATCGCACTTTCAAGCCGAGTCCAAAGAGTCATTACTCCCTATTCTCGGCGCTACTTGTACCTGTGACCTATTCGCTTGGAAATTTGACTGGTCATTTAAATGCTTTCACCAATACTAAGCGGGCTGCCTGTCATCGAGGACATTACCCAACACACCCGTTCTACCGAGTTACTAGTGTCATCGGCTCTAGGACTTATGCCAATCCTTCCGATCTGACCGTAATGTAACGATCGTCCCTGAGTTCTGAAACTGCCAATCTCGGGATTTTATACCACTGTGGTCGAGATTGCTTAGTACAGATCCTAGCCAGTATAGCTTCACAGGTTTTCCTGCGTCGACTCCTGGGAGGTCCGAGGGGATGATGGCGAAATGAAATTTCCCTCCCAGGAGCATCGCAGATATGCTCTATAGGGTTACGGTCAAGAGATCTGGCTGACCAAACCATGAGGCAAGTATCCTCATGGGCCAAATGTTCCCCTGAAAAGTCAAACATACGGTTCTGAGATCTCCTCTCTGTACTTCATATCAATGAGAAAGCCTTTCTCAGACACATGCGGTCGTCCAACATAAACTTCCCGAACCATTACACCTCCACTACTGTAAAAATACTTTCCCTAATGAAAGAAAGTACGGTATCGTATTCCAGGCTCTCTCCAGATATAGGTACACCGAATATCAGTGTCCAAGCTGGATCCCAACTCATCCGTAAAAAGCACAGTGTTCCACTGATGTCTGGTTCAAGGAGCATGCTGTTTGCCCCATACTATCCTGTGTGCTGCAGTGAGGGCGGGCACAAATAGCGGTTTTTATCGGGCGTACAGTTTTATTTCGAGAAGCATTCGGGCAACTGTAGACCGTGAAACTCAGGTTTCAAGGACAGCACGCAGCTCAGTGAGAGCTGTGAAGCAGTATAGGAGTCCTGTGTCGCCCCACTGAAAGTGCCAAATAACGATCCTCATTCGTCGTTTTAGATCTTGGTCAACTTGTAGAAGTCTTCTTCATATGGATCCAGTGTCCTGAAACTATTTCCACAAATTGCAGGCGACACTTGGTGTCACATGGAGCTCTGTAGTCACATGTGCTTGTGATTCGCCTGCCTTCAATCTACCGATAATCTCCTGCGTCTCATTCTGCCATTCATATGTTGGTGGCTACTCATTTTATCTGATAACTTCTAAAATTTGCCCAACTCTTGCGAGAAACATGGCGAATGTCAAGAAGGTCTGGGTGGACAAAAATACAAAAATCGCATGATTTTAAATTTATTTCAGAGCTCAAATATTAGATGTAGCTATCTTTGTAATAGATAGATTTACTAAGAACTGCAGACACAATCCTTATTTTTATTGCTCTTGGACAGTTAACTGTGTATCCATTTCATGCAACTGAAGCAAGATATGCAGTTTTCGAATTTTTCGGCAAATGCAAGTAACCAATTTTGATAATATATTATCTTTCTATCATCCTCCCGAATAATACCGAATTTCATGTCTTTAATAGAGAACCTCGCGTAATAATTAAAGTACTTATTTTAAAATAAAAAATTATAATATATTCCATTATTAAAAAAATATATAGTCTAAAATATAGAGAAAAAATAGAATGATTATATGTATAATTATTAAAATTTACTTTTCCTTTAAAATAATAGTTGCTACTTTTAATTACATGAAGAGTAAAATTTACTTCGTTCAGTCTGTCATAGTTTTCAAATTTAATAAGATGTTAGTAATTTAACCATTTTACATTAAAAAAATTAAATTGTATTTGTTCAGTGCAAGCAAGTGTTTTGGTAATAATTATTCAAGAAAATTACCCGAAATAATTTCCCTAAACTAGTTTTTCTTATTATGAGAGAAATTTTCTTAAAGATTATTTTAAAAATACGTATTCTTTCCTTTAATATTTGTAGATCATTGTACTTTGTTCAAAAGAGTTTTGCATAGAAAAAAGCTTTAAAAAAATCTTTTTTATAAATAATAAACAAATATAGCTATTTCAAAATATGCCTGTAAAATCTTAATAATATAAAGAGGAAACATTTTAGTTTAAGATCAGGAAAAGAAGGGAAATATTTCAATTCAGTTTCCTTTCGTATTCACGTCGTTGTTACCAGTCTCACTTGCCTGACAATGGTCAGGGCGAACCAACGAGATTCATCGTAGCAAGGAGTCAAATGCGCCTGTCGTTGGCATAAGCCTTGAGCACCATATAGATTACAGCCTGACTTTAGCTATTCCGTCTCCAGTCTTGAGAAAAAAATATTCCCCGGGGGGAGAAATTCGAGGGCCTTCTACTCCTCTGCCTTGCCATCAACTTCTCGAGAGGACTTTCGGCTCGCAGCATATTTAGAGTGCATCCGTGCCGCACATACACTATATATTTTCAAACATCCATGCCCTCTCCGGGATTTGAACCCGGGCCCTTTGGTACGACAGTCAAAGTCACTAACCACTATCCTAATTGTTAACCTGTTAATGAGTATGGCTTTCATATTCATTAAGAGATCGTCGAGACACTCTACCATACAGACATTTTGGCTGTAAGGAAGCTCATTATGAGACTGATGAGACTGATTTGAGTTTTTGCATAAAATTATATCGTCATCGTTGCTATAATAGAATACACGCTAAAAAAAAGCGCTTTTCAGGAAACGAGTGAAAAATATAGGTTTGTAAGGTTTTAGTTAGATGGGAAATATTTCAGCATGCTTGTACTTGCTGCTCCTTTTCCTATCACAAGTGACGTCGCAAGAGTTAATTTTTTTGCATTGGATGACACCTTGCTCTAAAAATATATCTTTTTTCGCATACGACATAGAAGAGAAATATTTTAGTAACTATTTTTAATAATTATCACTAGAATATCATTTACTTCATAACAATCTTAGTTAACGGAGGATCGGAGTGAATTAAAATTAAGAAAATGCCTCGCTATCTTTGTAACGCAAAAGGGAAGGATCTGCTACATTAGAGTAAAAAGGTTTAAGGAGTTGAAGCATTAAAATTATATTAAATAATGAATGCATATATTTGAAACTGACAGCCACATTTTCGTTCTTTCCTTTAGGTAGTGGACAGATCCAGCTTTGGCAATTTCTTCTCGAACTGCTGTCGGACAGTAGCAATGCTTCTTGTATCACGTGGGAAGGAACCAATGGAGAATTCAAACTGACAGACCCGGATGAAGTTGCCCGGCGCTGGGGGCAACGGAAAAGCAAACCGAATATGAACTATGACAAACTCAGCCGGGCTCTGCGCTACTACTACGACAAGAACATCATGACAAAAGTGCATGGCAAACGCTATGCTTATAAATTCGACTTTCACGGACTTACCCAACAAGCTTCCCAGCCGACTTTGTCAGATCCATCATCCACATACAAGTACCAGACAGACTTATTCCTGTCAAATTATGGACATGGACCAAAACTGAATTTCGGGATGAATCCCCACCATACTGGGGTCGCTGCCCCTAGTAATTTGTTTCAATCAACAACGAGCTACTGGAATAGCCCAAGCAGCAGTATTTATGCTAATATCTCAACCACTCATCCGTTACCTCATCACCATTCTGGTCATGTGTCTAGTCATTATCCTCATTATGCATGATGTACAGTTGCGTCTATAGCAAAGAAAAGAAACTATACTTGTATATTATTGGCCAAGTAAAATATTATATGAATTAGTCTTCGGAAATGCAAACTGACTCGTTCCATTAAAATTGTCATTCAGCCTTTGCCTTGGTTCATTATTTTTAAAACATTTATGCAACTGCATAAATGTTAATGAGTCATAGTTATTGAATCCTTAATTAACAAGATAAATTAGTCTTGGTTACCTGATTACTTTAACAGGCATAAAAATACAGATTCTTGCTTTATAATATTATGAATATGCAGAATTTTTAAATCTATAGTAATTCTCAGTTTTCATGCAATCAAAGTGTGAAAATTAAAGTTAGAAGCTCTAAATTGAAATTAAAATCGAATTCGTGAGCTATTACTATATACTGAAGTAAATGGTATCATGCAGAAGAGAAGTAGTGGATTTTCTACGTAAGTACCTTGGAAATTAATTGTATTAAGCAAAATGATGAAGTGAAAATGGAAAAAGATGTGCCACGTATTATTAACAATCTATTGATATATTTTAAAATTTTACTTATTTGCTTTTAATTGAAATGTACATAAAACAATAACTAATTATTTGAATTAACTGTCTGCTATTTTGCTATTTAAATTCTCAGTTGTTATTGTCAGCAACAAGTATCATTTGCCTAATTTTAACTGGAATTTAAATGCATTATTATTAAGTAAAGAGAAGTGTTAACAATAGCCTCCTACTTTTTTTTCATATATATTACAATGTCCAGAGAATAAGGTAAAAACAGTTTCTGGATCAGTTCTGAGTTAAATTACAAAAGGTATTCATAAATTGTTTATATATTTATTAAAAGGTTAGCACTGAACTTTCAAACTGCTTACTAGAATTTGTTACTAATTATCTGCTTCTTAGAATGCATTAGAAATGCTCCGATATGCAATAGGATAATAGCTAAGCATAATCTTAGTTCAAAATAAATATAGTTTAACTGCGCCGGCAACGCCCATTAGCATAAACACGCATGCGCCATTCTGGCCGATTTATTGACGAAATGGGGTGGATGGAACAGGAATCATGCAGTAAGAATTTTTTCCTTTCCCGGTTTATTTTCATTACGTTCACATAACACACATTTAAAAAGACAGAAAATTACTTTTAAGTAATCTAAGATAATTTGCTGATTATCATTTGTAATTAACAGTTTGATTACATTGTATTTAATTTTGTGCGTTTACCTATTTATTTATATATTGGTAAAAATATGAATGTTTTCAAAGTTTAATTTTGCTGTATGTACATAATTTTTTGATGAAGTGTAAAAATTATTATTATAATTATTTAATATATTTTATTGTGTATTTTTCATTGCAATGAATTCTAATATAATTATTATAACTGATTATATAAATTTACGGTAATAAATAATAATAATAATGATTAAAATTATTGTATATCTTTTTATCTTTGGACTAAAATGTATTCAAGGAATTTTAAGAGACGTCATCATAGAAACAGTAAAAACGTGTTGTAAAGACCCCTAATTAAGTTCTCATGCACTGAAAACACGCTACCGAAATTTTGAACCGAAACCATCATCTCTGTTACCTATCTATGTAGGTGAGCGGGAGGTAAAAGAAGTATAGGTTCTGGACGGCGGTTACAATGAGTCCTTCAGCATCTGTTATGGACAAACTAATACCTCCGTCCCATTCACCAAATATATATTAACCACTATAATTCCACCATCGGTGAGGCATTAGCGTTATGCCACAAAAGAGCAGCTGCAACTGACCTCCGACCTACTGGCCTTCTCCGGCACGCGCCCTTTTCTTTGCCAGCCTAATCTCCTGACCCTAAGTCTAGTTGAAAGAGATCCTGCCCCCAGATGAGTCTTTAACCACTTCTCTTGACAACCGAGTGGAGCTTTCAATCTGACAGAAGGTGCAAGACCAAAACTTTTATGAGCACGTGCAACAATGATTTTTTTTTTTTTTTTCCCTTAGCATACGGGCATAAATCTGGCAAATTTAGTAAGAAAGACTACTCTGTATTTATAAAAATCAGCAGTGGATGCACATATTATATGACGTGAGAAAAATATTTGGTTTACTGAACTGATAATATGAAATTTAATTATATTGTTAAAAAATAGCATACCGCTTTTAAATATCTGTTCGTTATTATAATAAGAGATGTTGTGTTAAAATTTTAAGAAAAAGTCAAACATCTAGAAGAGCCTCTCAAATCTCGCAATTCAATAAATGGACATTGGTATCTTAACTATTCTTAAGTAAACATGATTTATTCAGAGTTATTTCCTAACTGTCAGCAAGTTATCGTCTAGTCAACTTAAACATTATTATTATTATTATTTAAGTGCTCCGTTCTAAGGCATTACACGGAGGGGAGAGATGCCTTCGTGGAGGACTTTCTAGGGGAAACTAGCTCCGTATTAACACTTTACACATAAGGAAAACTACGAAAATGTCCGTGCAGCCACCTCGCTCGCAGGATTCGAACTACCAGTGTTCAGTGACTTTACCGCTCGTCCGCTGGTGGGCCAACTTAAACATTAGTACACATTTTAAATCCAACAAATTTTATTTGCCATGCCTGGTGAGTTACTATTAAAGCAAGCATTTATAATTAAAGGATCAATTACTTCTCGATATTAACTCTTTTAACACTGGTTTGGAAGTTAAAATTATGAAAATCGAATCCTCTCAAAAAGGACACCTGGTTTTACTCTCAGCTAATCACCATAAAGGGGATATTTACTAATATCGAGAGGTAACGTGAATCGATTTGACTTCAGACAAATACTAATAACCTTATAATGTCTATTTCGCTTTAGACACATAAACTTTAAAAGGGTTACAGCCGAAAACATCGCGAGCGAAAACAACGCAAGGCGAAAACTTCGTGGAACAGAAGATCGTAGGAGAAAAGAAAGGAAAGAGAAAACATCGTGGTACAAAATATCGTCGTCAAAAATAAAGCGGTTCAAAAACTTCGCAGTTTAAAAACATCGTCGTTGAAAATATCGTGGTAAAAACTAAAGTACCTATAAATCATCGCATGACGATAACATTGCGCACATGCGTTTTTCAGGTTTTAGAAGTTGTAAATGCCTATTCGCATAAAGATTTGAAAGTGCAAAAAATGTTAACAACATTTTACGAATAAATGGAAACAGAACAAGATATAATTTTCACCAAAACAATATCAGATTAACGAATGTTAAAGAAAGTAATTTGATAATTAACTAAGCAATTTTTTCAGAGGTAACTTCACGCAGTTATTTATCTTTCTTTTCTAAATACTTTTGGGCTATATTTTACCTGAAAAATTATGAGTAAAACTTTATAAAAAAACGATTAATTTATGTTAATCAACTACGTAAATGACCTTTGTTAATCAACTACGTAAATTTAAAATTCTATTAAGTGCTATAAGTTACATTCATTTTCAGTTTTTAAATGCTTAAGCTTCATTCTTACTTTTTCAGCAAAAATTTATTAGTTCATTCAAAAATATGAAACACGAAAGTAAAAATATCCCTCTTTCCTTCTGCCGCTCCCAAATTATTTTGCGAAAATGAATATACAGTTTTTAAAACCTGAAAAACGCATGTGTGCGATGTTATCGTCATGCGATGATTTGTAGGTACTTTAGTTTTTACCACGATACAACGATTTTGATGATTTCGACGATCATGTTTTTAAACTACGAAAGTTTCTGAAGAGCTTTATTTTCGATTATTTATATTCGATGTTTTAAATAATTGCAATTTTTCACCCTTTGATTTCTTTTCTCCCACGATGTTTTTTACCACGACGGTTTCGGTTGTGTTCACCGCGACACTTCCGTCTGCGATGTTTTCGGAGGACACCATTTGAAAAATAGCTCGAAATTCAATAGATATGGCTAAAAGTTCGACTAGTAGACGGTTGGAATATGTGCTAGACGAAGCGTTTACATCAACCGGCATTGAACTGCTAGATTTATTAGCAATAGCTTACCTATGTCCAGAGTTATCGGATGATACGAGACATAGTTTCGAGAAATTTTTACGACTCAGAGTGTTCATAAAAATTCTGGAAAATTTTGTTGGATGCCGCACCAAAATTGTGTAGCAAGAGGGCTGTTGGGAGTGATAGTGATGATTCAGATACCGTTGAAATTGTAATCATGTTCTTTCTTTTTTAGTGGATTCTTCTACAATGGGCATCAGTAAAAGTAGCCACACCAAAATTTGGGGATAAAAATTTTACCGATTTCTTAGGTTATGATTCAGAAGATTCGAGTGATGAAGAAAGTTCTAAAATCCGATGTTTGGAATTTAAAATCTTTCTGAAGATTTCCGAGATCTGATCATTCGAAAGTATCAATAACAGATAAAAAAATGTAATTTATAAGCCATTTGTCGTCTAATGAATTAATTCAGTTGCTTAAAATTAGATTTAATTTCGGTATGTTGATCCTCCTGTTAACTGTGTGGAAAAATAAAATTAATTTTTATGAAAAAAAAAAAAAACCCATAAAAAAATTCATAACTCATTTTTAATAATTTTTCTTTCTTAAATAACAATTTCTCTGCAATGCACGTTGAACTGTATTTTTTATTTTTTTATTTTAAAAGATTGCTTATGAGTTAAAAAAAGAAAAGCACACCTCCTTTTTTTAAAAAAATAATGATTTATAATTCACTCAAATAAAATTTGTTTACATAGTTGAAAACCAGTGCATTTGCTTCTGATTTCAATTTACTTTTACTAAAATCAAAAAACAATAATTATAAACGGAGGGGGATAAAGAAGATTAGATGAAAATAGTTGGTTTTTCTACCTGAAAGAAGGAACGCTCAGTTGCATTCTATAAGAGTTACAAATTTATATTTTCTTGGAATTAAATTTTCGGAACACAGAGCAGGAGATATGAGATTTATTTATTCATATTTATATGCAACTATGTTAATCCCGTATAAATTGCGAAATTCTCATAATTTACTTCAAAAGTTTTTTTTAATATTCAAAATCTGCTTTATTATTTTGTAAAGGATATAAATTTCGACTTATGGCTCTCAAATGTTCATGAAATCTACCATACTGCTCCTATCGTCTTGAAATTTGGT